CACCTGCGGCATCTTTCCGTCGCATTTATATTACGACGTATTAATATTTCCGTAAACCGAAGCACCGAGCATTAAGATGACACGTAATGTTAAGACGCCACTAGAGGGTCACGGAATATTCTTGATTACGTTGGTATCGTGGATACGTGACCATCCTTCCGGGCAAGTGGCGCCATCTTGCACGATGAAAGAGCCTATAATTTACGAGGACGTTTTTCGTCCGCGGGAATTTCCACAGGAATTCTTAACGTGCCCGGGATGCCGTATACATAGTTATACCTCAAGGGAATGATTTGTGCCCGAGGATCTCGACGCTGCAATCAACGATTCGTTAAGGCGGCCATTCAACGTTAACTAATCACCCTTCGTTAACGACTTTAGTCGCGCGTGAGAATAAGAGACGGAAAAATAGACGAGTTTTCGATCAGAAAATCTGATTTGTTTCGAAAAGAGTATGGTTTCGTTTTAGCAGGTAAATAAAATAATAGAGACGAAGATAACGAACCTTGGGGGTCCATGTATTTTTGTTTAACAATAATTCCCCAGACGCCACTAGGGACTTTTGGCAGACCGGTGTATTCGCCCATTCGAAAATACTCACCAACTTCTCCTGCACCAAAATCGAATCAGCCTCGAACGTTTCGCCAGGCTAAAAGGGATTCGCCTCTTTGGTATCCTTGTTTTTATACCTGCTATCCTACGGGACGGAATAACGTTTACTGGGAATTTATCGTTCGCGAAATTGGGATCAGGTGGCGCCATCGGCGCCTCTTACGAATGTATACGATAGATCTTTTTAGTCGATATCGAATTTCTCGATGGCAGACGATATAGTTATATCTAGTCATGCCAAATAGCATTGGATTCTTTTCTAGGAATAAAACTTATCGTAGGGCAAGAATAAGGGTGGAGGCAGGAAACTACCCCTGCTTGGTCTTTTATCCTACCTTTTTTTTTTATCTAACCTAACCCTACTCTTACTCTCAACTGTACGCTCCTTCCTTTCGCAGGGTATCTTCAGATAACATCCACCGGCGAGATTAAGCGACCTGGGGTATTGGGGTATCCTGGACGCCCGGCGTCCCGACGCCCTTGTAAACTCGTAATTCCTTCACTTTTCAGTTTTTTCACTTTCGGTCCTTCACTTTCAGTCAGGTTTCCATTAAAAGTCCTCTGGCCGAAGTGCACCTTGCTCGTTCGCAGGCCAAGGGATGCGGATGCTGAGGGGAAATAGAGACAGAGGGAGAGAGACGGAAGAAGCCGGATGGGGAAAAAATGGGTAGACAGGGGATGATATTGTGGCAAAACCGGAAATAGAGGTTGAGTAAGGGTTATTCAGGAATTTTTGACTTCCGTTAGGAAAACCGCATCCCTTAAAGTTTTTGGTCCAAATGTACTTGTCGGATGGGCATTGGATGAATACAAATAGGGGTTGGTATACGGGATTCGTGGGGGATGCCGTGTGCGAGGGGTGGCGAAAATTCTAAAAGTTGAAAATCCAAGCAAAAGTTCGAAACTGTTGATTTTTCAGTTTGACGACCTACCCTCTCGGCGTTCCACCCTCTTTCTTCCCTTGGGAAACTTTTTTCTCCGCCCCCTTTAAAGCAACCCTCCGTCCGGAGAATTTTGATTCTCGCGAGCAGAGCTAATTGACAGATCAAAAGGCTTTTCTGTTTTCTAGCGCTGCGAGGATTTTCGGATTGGATGCTGGCATGGACCAGAATCCAATTTTAGAAATATAGATATCCTGAGAATTCACAGTTTCGAAGATGTACCTGTAGCGTTATATGACTATAATGAAATTTTTTTTAAATTTATAATTTTTAAATTTTGAACAATTGAAATCGCAATAAATTGATGACGATTCCCTGATAAGGCCCAAAAAGGGCCTGGTTAGACACTGGATACGGAAATTCTTATTGTGGTCCCTCCTAGTGCCTGTAAGGGACCCGTATTTTATCTGGGCTGCCTCGATAATTTTCTACACCGTGTATTTTAGTTTAGCGAAGTTCCTTAGGAACCGGCCCGGTTCCTTGGCAACTTGTCTCAATTTACCAGAACTAGGCTCGTGCATTCTCGGGATCTTGGCGAAATCAGCCGAGCGATGTGCGCGTATACCGAATTGGTCCCTTGTGCTAAGTTATATTAATTTTCCAGCCGTATATATCCAAATTAACACGAATGTACTGTAACTACGTATACCGCATGAACGTTCCATTTCATCTCGGTCTTATTCATTGCTTACGTCAAATTCCGCCTGTCTAGGACAGAGATAGCGCTAGAGGAAAATAAAATAATTTCAATTAATTTATGATAAATAATAAATTTTTTTATCGCATCAAGTTAATTGTTACTAATAACTTTACTGCGAGTTGAGATATAGGATAACTCGAAACGCGGAAAATGTATTGTCATGGGGTTGGTACTGCAATTTAATTAAACTCTTTAGTACCAACCCTTAATTTTACAACCCCCCTCACTCTGGTCGAGTACAGTTGTCAGTTGAAAAAAAAGAAGGAATTTTTCATACACTATTTTATGAAATGAAATTTTCTGTCAATTTAAAAAAATATTTTTTTAAATTTTAATTCTACATTTAGACATTATCAGTATTATCGGTGCCAATCTTGGTATCGTTAATCTGTAAGATAGTGAATATATGTTTTTTCATGATTACGGAATTTTATGTGAAAACAAACGATTTCTTATTTATAAATTAAAGAATTCTCTCGAAATTTGAGCACTAAGAAATAAATGGCTCTTGAATAATTTTCAATCGACTAATTTCATCTTTCCCATGTTTCAGATTCCTACCCTCTGGATCTGCAGTTTTGCCAACGCTTCGAAATGGCCGCCAGCTTATGGTAAATTTTAAATTATACCACTAAAAAGAGAAGATTCTCTCTTTTTACATAAAAATACAAGAGTGCATTATAAATATTGCTAAACGCTCCCTGAAATATCCATTTCGTGCGAGAAATAAAAAAAAATATCCCGAACTCAGAGAATCCTCGACGTAATATACGGGAGGGACGCTTATCTACCCTCTCGATCCATTTTCAGTCCTTCCACATTTCAAAGCACCACCCGACGAGACTTACACTCTTAATTAACGTTAAGTCACCGCGTTATTAAATTGTTTTCTCGACCCCTTGAAAAATTTCAAAAGGTTGTCTTCGCAAGTGCGACGACCACCAGCGACAATCGCGCCTCTAACGGCAAACGGTGAAAATTCTCAAGAGATAGTAAGAGAAATGGCTAAAACCCTCAAGTTTTAGCACCGGCAACGGCGACAATCTCCAATCCTCTTGGCTTTCTTTTAAGTTTTGTATTGTTACTTTCTCTTTCACCCCCCCCCCTCCTTCACCATTTCTCCCACGTAACCTGTCTCTCCAAAACCTTATCCTCTGAATTATGCATTCGCAGGAATGCCACCGCGTCGCGGGCTTAAAGTCCCATACGAATTTTCTGCTATATCGCCATTGGCCAGTCGTGTATACATTGGAGCGGATCCAAAGTTGTCGCTAGTAGACAGGAATGTGGGTGCTCCTTGGCATTCGTAAGAATTTAAAGGAAAATTAGACGTCGGTCCAAAATACGTCTACTGCCAGCGTCTTAGATCGTCTGTGACGTCAGTAAGAAATTTCTTGACATCGTTGAAAGATAAAATGAGGATACTGATTGTTTCGTCCGTATAAATAAAGAAAATAATATTTGATTCTCTAATTTTCATTATAATGCAATGGTAATGAAAAATTTATTTTTAATATTTTTTTATAAAAAATTATAACGGACTTTAAGCCTCGTTCACAATTTGTCATATAACGTTATAAACGTTTGCCTCTATTGCATAGACGAAACGGTGCTGTAGAGTCTTGTCAGTTGCGCAATCGAAAGCAGGTGGCGAATGATAGATAGCGAATACCGAATGGCGGAAGGTGGTTGGCCCACGCAGACGGCGGCGGTGTCTGCGACTTCTATAAATAAACGGGGGAATCCCAAGCTGCCAGCGCCGCCCACAGGAATCCCGGACATTCAGTCGTTTCGTCGATGAAGGATCGACGGAATTCGCGGGATTTTGAATTAACGAAATTTTTCAAATTTTTCAATCGATTGGAATACCCGAAAAAGAGTTTAAATGGTAAATTTTATTTTTGAATTTTTAACAAAAAAAAATAATCAAAACTATTTTTGCAAACCCGCTCAAGACTTTACGAGAATAAATTTTGGTACCAGTGGTATTCCGTGTATATGCTAGATGTAAATTTTGAAAAATTTAACTTTTTTATCGTACGTCTAATTGTATACGGCTCGCCGATTACTGGACGTCTGCTTCGAAGTTCGATAAGACTAATGAAAAAGAAAAAGTCAAAGCGTCAAATAACAGGCTAGCTGATAGCATGAGTGACACGTGGCACTTGCGCCCCTTTGCTATCCAGGGCATTCACCCCATCGATCCGTGGGAGGGTGGCCGCTGAACTACGCTTGTATTCTTTGCTATGATGTAAAGAGGGAGACTGGATGACCCAGATTGCCTCGAGCAACCAACCCAACCAAGGAATCCACCAACCTACCCCATTCGCCTGCTCGCTATAGTTATCTCTAATGATTTACAGCTGCTGCCTACCTACTTCAACTTCCTGGTCCCTAGTGAAGATTTAATGCCAGGTTTCCTATAATGAAACAGCTTATAGACCAGTGTATACCATTTTTCTAAATTTTTTTGTTCGATTCTCAATTATATCTAAATTATTGTGGCTTTTGACTTTTTTTCTTTCATTCTGTTACAGACAATTCTGGCGGTTAGGGGAAATCAGTAGTCGATCGTTAGGGCTGGTATCAGGGCAGATCGCAGCTGGGGCGTGTAGTTGAATCAGCTGACACTTCGATCCTCGTGGCCAAAGTGGCTAAGAGCGTAAGTCCACGTAGAGTGCACCAGGAGTGCTCTGGGGTGGAGGTGCAGGTACAGGTGCAAGAGAGGAGAGCACCGAGGCGCATGCCTTACTTGGGGCCTGAAATGACATCCCGGCTGTCCGCCATGTTTTACACGGTCGAGGTCGGGGACACCAAGTTCACCATCCTCAAGCGGTATCAGAACCTCAAGCCAATCGGATCCGGAGCGCAAGGAATCGTCTGGTGAGTTATGATTTTTATTTTAGAAAAATAAATTTTTTTTTAAATCGTCATCCCCTCTCAGTTTTCATGATTCACTAGATTTAATGTTTTTTTTGAGTCTTATGAAGTATTTCGGCTATTCATTTTCGATACTACGTAATTGCCGTAGGTAAGTCTATGAAGAATTTTGTCAATGCTTGTCGAATTTTATATACTTGCTGAGTGAAGCTCTTTTTTTTTTTTTTTTTGTAAATCATCAAACAATTTTTTTGATCATTGAGGTAAGTCGAATACGGTTCATGCGTTACGTTGGTACTTTATTTAAGAAGCATTTTGGACGAAGTTATTGCAATTGTGAAAAGAAATACACAATTTTGAATTTATGAACGTAATTGAGTGCACGTAAAGTATGCTGTAAAATTTGGGGATTTTTATAAAGCCAAATCATTGCTGTATCCGATCGTCCTACGAAGGTAGAAATTTGAAAAGTTTGGACAGATCGTTGTTTTTTTTATTACTATAATTCAGCATTATCAATTTGTAAGTTCTATTTCCATTCTGCATGTTTTCCCGCCTGTACCAGTAATTCTTATATAACTTTTCGCTCATAATCCATAGTAAAAAAAGATTTCACAGATTTTCATCCTGCAGATTTATTTACCTAAAATTAACAGAACCAAGCTAACGGAAAAGACAATGTCAATAAACATAATTTCATTTCAGATTATTTTGACACTTTACCACCATTTGACCAATCTGCATGACATGAAATATCCATCCATCTTAAATCTCACATTAAAGTTATTCATTAAAAACGAGTATAATTGTCAAATCGACCCTTCATTAGAATCCTTATAAAATTCATATAATCTCAAAGTGGATGATCTCCATTATCTTTAAAAAAAAAAAAAAAAAAATCGCGATGCATTATTTTTTCTTTTTCATTCCTAAATCCTCTCAGTCCTATCATTGGTTTGGTAGCTAGCTAGTGCATACATCTAGTTAACGCACGAATCCACCATCACCACGAGCCCTGTCATCAAGAAGAGGGAGGGCCCAAAAAAAATCCAAAAAACAATCGCGAAATAAGAGCGAGCGATTAAGGGCGAGAAATAAAAAAGGGCAAAACATATATATATATATATAACGGGAGAGTATGGATAACGTGGTGACGAACTCTACGGAGGCTGGCAACATTAGGAGCGGATATCGTCGTCACGTATTCGGTGACACGGAACTCTGCATTCCGGAACGTTACGTCGACGTCGAGCCACGAGGCGTCGGCGCTCAGGGCGTCGTTTGGTGAGTGAACAGATTAATCCGGCTCAACGTAATCTAGCCGTCTACATTGGGTCATGAAAAAAAAAAAATGCTTAATAAGCCACTCAAATTCGAACCCGTTGTGACGCCACATCCAGAATCCAAAAAAAAAAAAGATCCTTACCCCATTTTATTTACACGTATTAAAATTCAAAGGCCCATTCCCAAGTTTACCTCGTTTTCCTATTTCTTTCCCCGCGGGGGAGACGCTTTTCTTTTATTTCTTCTCAAACTCGTTTTCACAAACCTTTTAATCACTTAACGAACTTTTTTTTCATTTTTGTTTCAGCGCGGCATACGACACTCTCACCGCGCAAAATGTGGCGATCAAAAAACTCTCGAGACCCTTTCAAAACGTGACACATGCCAAGAGGGCGTACAGAGAGTTCAAACTGATGAAATTGGTTAATCATAAAAACGTAAGTACCATATTTATATTTTTTTTTTAAATTGAAATCCGTGTATATTTTTGCCTCTCCTACTCTTTATATGCCCTTATTCTCATGCTTACGTCACTGGTTACAGATCATCGGATTGCTGAACGCATTCACGCCTCAACGATCCCTCGACGAATTTCAAGACGTCTATCTCGTGATGGAACTGATGGACGCAAATCTCTGTCAGGTCATCCAGATGGATCTGGACCACGAGCGGATGTCCTACCTTCTGTACCAGATGCTCTGTGGCATCAAGCATTTACACTCAGCCGGTATAATTCACAGGGTGAGTAAAAAGAATTAGACTTCTGGTATTGAACAAGCATTATAATACACGTACGTATATGCTGACTTTTATTAACATTTTGTAAAATTATTAATTGTTACTCTAAATCCAAAAACTCTCAATAACTTGTAATCGTGTGATCTGCAGGATTTGAAGCCAAGTAATATCGTGGTGAAATCTGACTGTACCCTGAAGATTTTGGATTTTGGTCTGGCAAGGACCGCCGGCACGACGTTCATGATGACTCCCTACGTCGTGACACGTTATTACCGGGCACCAGAGGTATATTATATTAGATGAATAGCCAAATTCGACAATTCAAAATAATTTGCGCAAAAAACCTCATGGACGTTTTTTTCTCAAAAATTGTTTCAAGGTCATACTGGGAATGGGTTACAAGGAGAACGTGGATATATGGTCGGTAGGCTGTATTATGGGTGAAATGATAAGAGGAGGTGTACTGTTTCCCGGTACGGATCACATTGATCAATGGAACAAGATCATCGGTAAGCTCAAAAAGCATTGATAAGGATAAATAAAAATTTACAAGAAATTTTCTATCACTCTTTCCCACTTCAGAACAACTTGGCACGCCTGCGCAAGAGTTCATGCAACGGCTGCAACCGACGGTGAGGAATTACGTCGAGAATAGGCCGCGGTATCCAGGATATCCTTTCGAGAGGCTATTTCCGGATGTCCTATTCCCATCGGACTCGTCCGAACACAATAGATTAAAAGGTGAAGATACACGAGAATGAATGTAAATAATCGCCATAATAAAAGCACGCTAATGGACCCTTTGTAATTCCATAGCGAGCCAAGCCAGAGATCTGCTCTCCCGCATGCTAGTGATTGACCCGGAGCGACGTATTTCCGTGGACGATGCCCTTTTGCACAATTATATTAACGTCTGGTACGACGAGGGCGAAGTCAATGCCGTAAGTATCTGTAAGATATGGACCTATCATCGCTAACATTATAATTAATGATTTTTGTCATTGATCCATTTCCAGCCTGCACCAGGTCCCTACGACCACAGCGTGGACGAGAGGGAACACACGGTTGATCAATGGAAAGAATTGATCTATCAGGAGGTGATGGAGTACGAGACTAATCACAATCCAGCGGCAGTGGCCCAGGCGGCGGAACCGGCTGGTTCACGGTAGACGCTGTGATTTGGATATCCATTTCCGGTAGCAAGAGGAAGAGAAATGAATAAGACAAGTAAAAGGGAGGAATAAGAAGTTTATCGAATACCGGAAGGAGGCAAGATTTAATGACGAATCGAGTTGTTGGATGGGACGATGATTGATTTCGATGAGGATTGTATGAGCATGATAAAGCGAAAGTACGTCTATTAACGATAGTATGAGTTATCATTGTGATGTGATCACTGATGTCGAGGATCCGATGTGTAATGAGTAATCGAGCCTTTTTAACCGGGAATAAAGAAAAACGTAAAAAGCTTTTACGAGTGCAACAAAGTGGGAGTATTGTATGACGCGTTGACGTTGCTAGAAAGAGGATATATTAATCTATTATTACTAAGAGTAAGCTATGCGCATGCGCAGATGATGGCGAGTATTATCGCTCAAGTCTTTAACGAGAAACACGAAGGATATGAAAAGTGAATGAAAACTCACGTCTTATGTTCAAGAGAAAAGGAACAACAATAATAACAATAACGGCAACAAAAAAGTAACGTCATTGTATGAGAAAATAGTGTGCCTGTCTTTTTTCTTTCTGTCTTTCCTTTCTCTGTCTCTCTCTCTCTCTCTCTCTCCCTCAATCTCTCTATGATTGTATACGAGCGAGCGAGCGAGTGCCTTCAATGTGATGAACTGTGTACGTCGAGAATGCAAGAAGACAAAAAATAATAGTGACGTTACTAAATAAAAAATAAAATGGTGGACTGGTTTACTGCTAGTTGGCATAAGTGACTACGCGATTGAGGTTATGGCGTCTCCATATACGAAAATGCGAAATTAATAAAGTAAAGAGCGATCAATGCGTTTAATACTGCGTCTAATCGCAATTGGTAGAATGTATCGATAATATTAATAGGAGAAAGTCCCAATCGATTAGAGATGCGTATTGATTTATTCTCTGATTAATCAAATGCCGGAGAGAAAATAACTTTTATCGATATTTCACAAAGCCACCGCATTATCCAGGCAGCGCGGCAATCGCACGCTGATATATATCTCTCTCTATCAGTATATCTTTCTCTTTCTCCGTCTTTCGGGCTGATTTTTCGAACTTCCGTCCGCGACAATTACTCACAATTTTCGTACATCCGCCATGCGCACTGTTACCTTTGCGATAACTTCCGGCTCTGAGTTCCAAGTTCGTTGATCCTCGAGACAATCTTGCGCGTCTCGCTGCCATCTCTTGTTTCTCTATTTTTTTTTTCTTCATTCTCAAGAGGGTCAAAATAATAAAATAAGAACGCTGTTAACCCTTTGCGAAAAAAAAGAAATGGAGGAACAAGGATATAAAAGAGAAGAAAAATTGCGACAGTATAATCTGTGCAAAAAAATAGTAAGACTATTTTACTCGTCGCGAATCATTAATTTCGAGACGAAGCGGACTGCCGATATTCCCTTGTGAATGATATAGTAGCTAAAATCATTTTTTTGATTCGCTGCCAATGACAGGCTTCTTGTGCGAAATATTTTTTATAACCCTGACCTGTCCCTCCCCACCCTCAATCATCCCAACCCCATTTCCCATCTCATATTAAAGTTGGCAAAATCCCAAGCAGACCCATATACATATATATACTTTTAATGCGATTTTGCGAATAATCGGTAATACCTTGCGCCAGCGTACGTTACGAGCTTCGAGCGTGTGATTGTCTTTTTTACAAGAAAAGAAAAGAAATAAGAAAATCAATACAAAACGAAAGTCGACTTTCGTCTTTTTAAGGAAAAATTTATTATCGATAACTGATCAAAGCATTACGGATTTATAATGCGCGAAATCCATTTGCTAAATCACGCTAAATATATCCCGGGTATATTTTTGCCCATTGGAACGTTAAACGCAATACCGATATATTTTTCGTATGACGATTTTTAATCGTGGGAACAAATATCATCGAGATTACCGAAACGCATATACGAATTTTGCTGCATGGTTAATAATTGTTGGACTGTTTTGGTTGAACACATGGTTTGCCATTTATTTTTTTTCCGAAAAAACAATCGAGAAAAATATATAATCTCAGAGAGGAGACAGTTTTACGCTCGATCCGTCTCGTATTTGTTTACGGAAGTCGCATTTATGTGTAAAAAAAAAGAAAATACAGGAAAATACAAGAGGTGGGAATAAGGAATGAATGTTGCATTAAGAATCCAAAAAATTCTACGAAATTCGTTACCGTTCGTACGGTCTCGAGGTGAGGGAGTCTTGTAAGAAAAAAAAAAATTAAATTCTCGCACATCCATAATGGATGACACTCTCGTATTATCGATTACTGTATCATCGAACGAGCTGAGAGTAATCGTAAAATCATTAAGGAAAGTAACTCTACACTTGATAAATTTGAATTTGTACATAATTAGAAGGTAGATCGATGTACACAAAAAAGAACGAGAAACCTATCGATGCGTTACTGCGACACCGTTGACCATCACGGCTAAAATTACGTCCGTTATATATTAATATACATTTTTGTTTTCTGTTCTGTAACAAGGAAAATATTGGAAATTCATATGCGACATTATTGAATAATAGACGTCGTGCTTGGCAGTAAAGGCGAATTCAAAGAATTCTTATGAAATCGTATAGGGAATAATTATTTTATTTAATTGTATTACGAATTTCGAAAAAAAAAACTAGCTGACTAGCTCTACGACTTTTTAACAAAAAAAAAAAAATAATAATTTTCTATTTAGTCACCAATTCAGTTCAATATGGCAAAAATTATTTCACGAGAGTTCACGTAACCGAGTATTAACTTTTGAAACGTCTTGTAGAAAATTACATATGCACTTTTTCTTCACTTGTATCAAGTATTAATTTTTCTTATTTGATTAGCAAGTGAAAAAAAAAGAAAATGTAATTTTTCAAAACGACGTACGAGACTTTTCAAATTTGTATAAATACAGATTAACGTAACGCTAATTGTGAACGCGACATATTGGCAAGGAGTAGTTGAATTTTTTTTTTAATCTACATGATTCTGGGCACTGTGTAATAAAATTGTGTAGTCACGTTAATTCGCTGCTATTAATTATTGATTTTAATTACTGTAATGATTCTCATCGAATCCAGTTAGTTAATTAGATTTTACCAAATTTCACTAACGCCTCGCATCCATACCAATATCGATGTCGAATTTTCCATGTTACACTCGGTTATTTAATAAACAAACAAAATCACACTCTTTCTCTAATCGTTATAAGCGATACGATTTAATCACAGATCAATCTTGCGTTACAAATAACGTTCGCTCAGTCGCGTGAGGGAATCCAAGATTCTTAATATAAAATATGAATCGAGCAAAAGAATCGATAACTTTCCCAGAGTGACGTCATCGAGCGTTATCAATTTTCAAAAATTACCAAAAAAAAAAAATCAGACAAGTCAAGTGTAACGATTAAAAGAGGCGTAAGAGAACGTCGGGCCTTTTGGTAAATTCGTGTATTTATTATTATTATTATTACACGTGACGTAGCTCACTTTCGTACATGATATTAATATATGTATAGCGATGCGTAGCGAAAAGTGAATATGATTAATGACATGTAGTAATTAATTGCTCGATTAATCAAGATTATTGTGATTGAAATTAAAAACAAGTCGCTAACGAGCCCTCGTTACCTTGAATCGACGTTGAACGAAAGTGCATGTGTTACAGTTGCCGAAAAAGTGTGAGAGAGGAGGGAAGTGGGGTGGATACGAATAAAGTTGAACAAGGGGGTTAAACGATAAAGGGATGTTACAACTTATAGAATCCGAATAAATATTAACGATAGTGGTGGACAACGGGATCGGAGAACGATAATGATAACGATGATTATAAAATTGTATTTATTACGAATAATTGAAACTACAAATATTAACTAATGAATGAGTAATTGTAATGTAACGTTGAATTTTTATTTTCCACGAATGATAGTTATGTGAATATATTGCTACAGTCCGATCCAAATAATCAAGCTTTTGTAACACTAATTATAATAAAGTAATAATGATAATATTACTGATAATTACGTAATTACGTATTACAGGCAGTAACTGATATGCGAATTGGTAATGATACACGTTATCGCATATAGGTGGTGCACGGATTCCAGAAATCTTTAAAAAAAAAAATTCATCACGGTCCCACGTTATCACGTATATCGGTTATCGTGAAAAATGACAGTCCGCGATTTTATTGGCATAAAGAATTAATCGAGTGACATCTTTTTTCTTGGAATGCTTATGATGGCAAGCGTAACACAAATTAAAGATAATTATCAAACTCTCATGATTTTTGAGAAAGGGCATGCAAGCTCATTCATATGTCATGACGAAGATTTTGAAAAAAAAAAAAAAAAAAAAAAATTAAGGATTTTTGGAAAAGGCAACGCGAGGTGGGGTTGGGGCGAGGTGATATATCCAAGTAAAGGTAACGAGATAAATAATAATAATAATAATAATACCAACAAATAATGATTAAAATAAAAATAATAACAATAAGTCATAAGTAACACTTAACTATAATTAATTGGTTAATCAAGTAACGATAATCCTTCTCTTAGGGCGATAAGAGGCAAATACAAAAAAAAAAGATAAACAGAATATTTTGAACGGTCGATAATTGGGTGATGAAAGACGAGAAGGGAGAAGAGGAATTAAAGAAAATGAAAAGGAAACTGAAACACAATAATGTCCATGTTGCTGATTTAGCAGTGAGAGGTTAGAGTGCGTTTAGAGGCAACTTAGTTTAGTTAGTTAGCGAGTTAGTTAGTTAGTTCTTATACTAGAAACAAGACGAGGAAGAATGAAGAAAGAAAAAAACGTCATAAGTGTAGCTTTTAGACCTAGGCTAGACTAGAGTAAACCTAGACTAGGCTAGGCTAGGTTTCGTTCCGAGGTAGTTTATCATGGCTGATCCTTATTTATTAAGGACAGGGAGCCGGAAGTTACTCTAATTAATCGCCAATGCTCGCAAATCAGCATCCGAAAAGAGATGTTCACTCTTAACCGCAAGTCCCGTAAAGCTCCGTTACCGTGTAGTCTCTTGTGGAGAGGCTGGCTCCTTATGGATTCTTTTTTTGAAAATTCCCAAAAATATATTCGATATACGAATCGATGACGATCCGACGGCATTTTGAAAAAACGTATCATTCGACACGGTTACGTCGTACATCACGAGATGAAAAAAAAAAAATAAACTTAAAATTGAATACAAATTTTGGATTTTCATTATTACCAAATTTTTTGCATAAATAACGCTTTAATTTCTTCTGAGCTCTTTAGCACGTGCCTTGTACAGCCTTCTGCACTATTTTTATCTTTCGTATACTCTGTATTATTATTATTTTTTTTTTTTCTAAAAATCACGAAATTTCAAAACGCCGTCGGTCACGATCCGTACGCGATGAAATGATAAAAATCACATGGATATGATGAATCTACAGATTTTTGTTCTTTTAAATTGTACAGTCACCGGAGAGAATGATAAAAAAGTTGATTATAAAAATTTTTTTTTTTTTTTCAAAAAGCCAGCTATCAGCTATCAGAGAGTCTTAGATGTTACACCGTACAGTAGTGGTTATGTAATAATATACGCAAGACATTATATAGAGACACGCGTTATCAGGTATAACGATTTGATAACGCACAAAGGACATAGACACATACGAAACCAAAAAAAATCTAGACGCAGCAACAGCAACGCAAATGCGCCACCCTGAACTATTATAAATATAACTATACCGATATCACGAAATATATACCTCTTCTGTAAATATTATATAAACAATAATTATTATATATATTGATCGATACGATAATAACGGCATGTAAAATCATGGAATGCGACTAATATATGCTAATGATTAAAAAGATCATCGGCCGACGACGATCGTCACGATTAAATTACAACGGACGCCAATGATGATCGACGCCGATTGTAATCGCGATGACGATTTACGAGATGTAATTATAAATTGCGATATTGTTTTACGACCGGATGGACGTATCATTTATTTGTGAATAATTCATTACGATGATAATATAGTTATATTGTCGCGACGATATGATATAATTATATTTATCGGCACGGTATATAAATAATTATAAATAAAAAATCATCATCGATGATAATTAAATACGACGATTAGTCGATGATAGTAGCTTGATCGATGACGGCAATGTTGATTGTGATTATTTTTTTTTGTTTAATTATTATAATTGTAATTGATTATTATCGGTTATTATTATTATCATTATTATTATTATTATCATTATATTTACTCCTATCGTCATTAATCCGAACCATACGATTTCGTGGCAACACCGAAGCTGTCACTGTGACGTAAAATTTGGTTAAAAACAAAAATGAACTCAAAAACCTTATCATTCGTGTAATTAACTACGGGCGAGTATACAGTTTAGAATTTGAATAGCGATCATCGATAATTTTGTAGATGCGGGAGTAAAGGAAGAAAAAGGTTAAAAAAACGGGAAAAGAAAAAAAAAAGAAAATCGAATGAGGGATTCTCTATGATTTTGTGGAGAGGTTTGATTTTTGGAGGGAAAAAAATGTGGTACAGGGGTACGTTACGTGGTAATAGATTTTCGAAAAATTGGTTATATGACGCGGAGTAACGAATGTTTCCGTAGGGGCGTATCCTTTTTCTCTCTTTATCTTATCATTTTTCCTATGATCGGCAATCGGATTCTTATCCACGTTTGAATTTGGCGCTTCTCACGCGACGCGTTTGACATTTCGACGAATTCGAAAATTGTACGAATATACCGACGGAATAATGTGCAATGATACGCGCGCAGACTCGACAGAAGTGTGCGCGCGTGTCTCTTGATTATTACGAGTATGAAATCGGCCATTTGCTATTGAAAATTAATCGATTACGTGCGCAATTCTTATAGATCGGAATGAGGCAGGACAATGGCGAACGATTACAGGGCATTCTTGAATGTGTTTTATAAGCGCGAAAGATTTTGCTGGTTTCTTACGTATTGCGAATCCCCTTCTGGAATGAAAGAGAAAAAGAACGAGCGCAGAACGTAGATGGAGGATATGAGGGTCGAAGGATGGAAGGGATGTAAAAAAAATTATTTATGAGAGGAAACCAATAATCCAGTACTAACGTGATCGTACCATTGGGCTAAATTGTCTCATTCTTGAATATTATCAACAATCAATTGCTGGCGTAAACGATATAATTATTTATTGGCAACTGAACCAATGCTCAAAGACGCTGTTGGTTTATATTAATAAAAAGAAGCTAACGAACCACAATTTTCTTTACCTGTCTGTACCTATAGGCCTGTATTGTATATGCAGTGAAATAAGGGATGAATAAAAAAAAAAGTATGGACACTTTTTATATGCATGATTTATAAGTTTTAATTTTAATATTAAAGGAGATATACCATGTTGTATGTGAATGAATTATTGGTTATTTAAATTGATGTTTTAAAATATTATCATGGGCTTGTCATTGACTGTTCACTATAACTTATCCCCATCCAAGCTTCCTGGCCGTGTAGGCGTTTTACGCTGTAATTATATAAACTTGGGAGAAAGTCCAATTTTTCTGTTTAACGTTCAAAAATATTGATCCGGTAGTTGATTTTTTGACAAATTTTTTTTTCAACTTTTTTATTATAACTCTTCAGACGAACGACGATCGAACTTCATTTTACTTGGTAAAAAATTTATCGAAATATATCCTGAAGATGGGGAACGCGAGATGTACATTTACTTCAGTCGAATTGCGTATTGCATCCAGATCCTTTATGGGGTATACGAGTGTAGAAATAGGAATGAGTAAAACTTGAATTTCAATTGAATACGTCGTAATATTATTTCTGTACAAGTGCAGTGGGGTATATAAATATATGTATAATATATTCAAATATTTATTCCAGGAGGATCCACGTATTGCATATATATATATATATATATACATATATACATATATGTATGCATCCGTGTCACTTGGATAAATCCAGAATCTGGGCAGGTATGTATGCACATGTAAATACCGTATTCCTGACTTTTTGACTAAAAATACTACCAGCCGAAGAAGGATCGTATCCTGTTTTACATATGAATAACAGCGCGATAGCTCTACACTTTTATTCCAAATACCAGGGAATTTTATGCCGCTAAAGCTACATGGTATCGGCATTGTTAAATCTAGACTTTGACTTCTTTTCAACAGTGGAGACCAGGACTAACCGGAAACGTATCACAGACTCTCACTCCCCCATTGTGTAATAAAAGAATGAATAGAGAGAATCGCCATTTTATCATGCAAATTTCTAAAAGCTTGTACTTATATATAACAATATAGTATATACCCATATTGTATATATACAACATATATTGTTTATCGTACTCCCTTGGAATCATCAATAAGGATGAAATAGGTAATTTGGAAACACATGAAAAAAGAATCCGGTAATGCAGGAACATATAGGTATAGTAGCGATGCAATAGAAAACAATAACTGTAAATCAACAAACGTTACAACTTCGCAAAGACGGTGTTGCCGATGCATAAAGGGCCAAGGTGGAAAAAAAAACCCAAACATTTTGTTAGTTCTTATAGTTAAGCATTCATATCCCAATAAATTCCAAATAGACATGCGGATTGGGTCATTCCAAGTATTGCCAGTGCAACTGAAAACCACAAAAGAAAATGAAGAAAAAGTGGAAATCAACACAGGACTCTACGGCAGGAGGGGTGAAGGGGTACCTTAAACGTGATAAGAGTAAGTGGAGCAAAGTTGTGAATACACCACAGAACGGGCATCACGTAGCGGCAATAGTGAGTACATCAAAATTAGAATTTTAATATATAAATGTATGTGTCCAGAGTGAGGATGGCTGGGTTGAAGGCTAAGCCACTCGCAACAATGGATTGTGATAGCCCCTACTGAGCGTGTATATTTAGTCGATTGTGACTACACAATAAATAGATATATACTTAATCAACAGATTGTCTTGAACGTTTGTGATCCCTAAATCCATTGGTCGACGCTCGTTCGTTGGTGGCTAGCAACGTGTAGCACGGGATCCGTGAAAACGGAATAGACCGCGTAAGAGCATACGCCGCTTTGGCTACAACACGCCGGTGTAAGAGCGCAGGAATCCGTAACAGACGGCAGACATATATAAGGACAACGTATCACAAGGAAAGTCAGTTATTAGCAGACAACCGACGAGGAAAGTTCTAAAATAATAACCTAGTAGAATAGCTAAAGTGCTATGAGTCGATGCTTGCAGAGACGAATAGGAAGCAGTAGGGAGATGCACCAGAGATGAGCAGGGACATGCACAACGCTACGGTTTTCGGCGGTACCAAAATCATGCCGCTAAATCGTAGCGGCAAGTCTGGAAGTAGGATTCTGTGATCATCGCCTCCGTCGACAATGCAAATCCCGTCGTAGTCGAGCTAAACGTGAACACGAACGCGTAGCTTGGCGGGCAGAGGTTCTCCGCTACTCACTGCTGGTTTCCAAAACAACTCTTAGAACGAGACCGGGAAATATAGAACTTCTCAAGAATTATTGAAAAAGCTTATTGTTGAAATATTTTTAAGACATTTTTAAGAAAGTGCCAACTTGACACCCGTGTAGCACCTCAATTTTTACTAAATATTATTGGATCTTGATTTACTTTCAAAATTTATTCAAAATATAAAATTGAAGCTAAATGAAAATTTTGCAGAATATACGGAGTAGATAAAATTTGAATTGAAATTGTAGAATATCGAAAATAAATTACATTCCAATTGAAATATTAATAAATTAAGTGTTTGTAACATTAAAATAATTAATTAAATCAATAAAGTAAAATATGATCACTCAGAAATTGGAAATTCAGGCCAAGCATATTTATAAATTACTGGAAGTTGCCCAAAATTGTATGCGCGCAAATTCGTCGCGGCAGGACTCTGGGAGTGGGAGATGGCAGAGAGTGGGGGTGAGCGCTGGAGGCAGCGCCCGGACTCCGAGCGCTCATTCTTCCACGAGCCGGTCTCCTATACTGGTCTCTTGGAATCATTAGTCTTATTTATTTTGAACATTCTTCTCTTTCTATATCTATTTCTTCTTTACATTCGAATTTCTTTATCTGTCACTCTTTACTTTCTGATTTATCTCTTTCTTTATTTCTTCTCTACTTTTATATTCCTTACTTTTCTACTTCTTAACTTCTTTATTTCTATCTTCCCTTCTGTCTTCTCGTTTCATTCTATTCCCTCTCACTTTCCATTGTGCTTGTTTTACTTGTCCTATTCCTTTGGTCGGGTCGAGCATATTAATTCAAGTAGTCATATAAGAGTAGTCATCCGGTTAGTGCAGCTAGACTTAAGACCATGGTGTCGGGGGTTGCCCTTCCGCCTCTTCCGCTGAGCTTGCTCAGTGGTTGGTGGCCCAAGTTGTGGCCGCAACAGGACCTTATGGGTCTCCCGACGGGGGCCTTGAGCCCCCTTAGGGTATCTACGGCCATGGTCTTTCGTATAGTGAATCTAGCCAGGTGTCTAGCTCTCGCGTATTTAGTATAATTTGTTCGCTTTGCTAAAAACGCTCCAACATGTCGTTGACCCTTGGGCACTTGTGTGGGTAGAGACGATCCTATTTGTCCGTGGGGAGGTCGGAGGGGTAGTCCGTTGACTTTGGGTAAAGTCCTACTTGTGCTTGTGCTTGGGGGTCACTTCACTTGGGGTAGGTGCGGGTGCTATTGAGCACCCGCTAGTATAAAGTCACCCTCTGTCGGAGACATTTTGCGCGGGGATCGATGGCTAACGGGGCCCGCCGCCGGCGGCGGGCGTGGTTCCTTACGTCTAACCCACTGGGCTCGCCCGTGGGAAGGGACGGAGGTTGTAGCGTTAAATATCGTCCTTCCGGATGTCCCGGCGTGCCCGCAAGGGTTCGCTGGGTGCTACGCCCGCGGTCTTTCGTTGCGGTGAATCTTGACTAAGGGCAGACCTTTCGCGTTTAACTTGTCCCTTTCGCGTTTAACTTATCTTAGCTTCTTCGCGTTTAACTTCACCTTACCCCCTTGTGCGTTTTTCTTGTCCCTCGACCCGACTTCCTTCCCTTCCTGAGGTTTTTCCCCCCTAGTCCTGTGCGCGAAAGCCGCAGGACTCGGGGGTTTTCCTCAAAAAAAAACAAAAAAAAACACGGTCCCCTATGGGGCTTCGGAGGGGTCGTAGCTCCATTGTGGAGAGGTAGGACCTCACGGAAATGGGCGGGGTGGGGCCCATTTCGCTCCCTCATACTTCCTACTTTTCCTACTTTT